AATTTTTAAACGATGCTGCATACTGTACCGCATACTGACTTACCAGTTATTGCTGACGGAGCTTGCCTTTTTCGAGCAATAGCATACATATTGTAAGATACTCAAGTTACGGCTCGAGAGGTGCGTGAGGAAATAGTGCAGCACTGATATAAGCATTGATATGAGTTTTCTGTCCTATCTCATGACAGCGATTGGAATAATTTTAATAATTCTGCTGCCTACTATGATGAAAGGTCACGAAATCATACCTACGGTGGCTTTTCAATTTAATGTCTGACGGATGGATTTGAAATTACTAATGAAATTCAATACATAGAAAACCTTGAAAGTATCACGAGCACTAGAGATTTACAATGGGCTATTTGCGACTGACTTGCTAACATCTTTGAGGATGGTCCGAAGACATGCCATCACAGTTTTTATCCTCTGCGTTGCGAATATCTCCCCCGCTTTGGTAGCCCGACGACCTGCGAGCACTTTAAAATAGAACAGTTTAACGAGGACAAATACCATGTACCCTCGGTTCTTTCGCAGGATGATCTATGTGGTCACCCACTCGAACACTGACCTCAGCCATGGAGGCTTGAATTACGTAATTAACTGAGAACCGTGTCGTAACGATCAGTCAACTGCGGAACTAAAATTGTTATCAAATTATAATTGAAATTAAATTGAAAGTACTTCGCAGCGGGCAAAATCTACGATGATAAAAATCTGTTTATCTGTTATTTAAAACTAATTGAGTTGTAAGGATTGGACGTGAAATTGAAAAATTAGAGTATTCAAATACTGTTCTGCCATAATTAAATACAGTAAGTTTACATAGTGCACAAGATAATTTTAAAAGTTGACAAAGCTGGTTATCAAAGAGACAGTTGTGGATGGTCCCCTAAGCGATCGACTTTGGAGCAGCCAAAGCGATAGAAACCTTTGACTTTCTAATTTTCTGAGTTAACATCGAGTTCCATATCGCACACCATATCGCTCCATATCCTCACATCGAGTTCCATATAGTGGAACGGGTTTGAACAAAAGTAAATCAACTGGTAATTTATTATTTGTGATTCTGATTAGCTTATTATATAATATAGTAGCACGTCTGGAGTTGGGAAACCTGGTTGGCAGGTTGCTGGACACACGTAAATCCAAGAGGGGGAATCGGATTTCGAATCCAGCTGGCCAAAGACTCCTCTTGTTGTAAATGGTGACTGGTGTACGTTAAATCTGTCGGATTGCAAAGTTCTCCTTGCTGCTATAACAAATTATACTTCAGAGGGCACTGAATTGGAGATTGATCGTTCTCTGGTTCAGGTCAAAGTTACGATCTGTATATGAAGGAATGGTTCCATATAAAGGGGTGTGCCGCATGAGTGCGACAGTAGTCGAATTCTCGGTGCCACTGGAAAGCAAGAACAATCGCAGTCCTTGCCTTAATGGCCTACGCCAACAACAGTAGCACGTCTTTCTACCACATTAATCACGGGATTAGTTTTGGCTTAAAACTGTAAGGGCAACACAGGGGTAGTTTCAACTCTTCCGGTAATGTTTCTCATTGCCTAGTCTTGAAAAGTCTTAAGAAGCTTTATCCCTTTAGCAGAAGTATGATCAGCACCTCAATACAATTGTTCAAAATTGGTTGCTTCTTCTGCATGGAGCTTGACCCATCTGTATAGATTACGTGGATCACTTAGTAATTTTTTCCTCTAGTATTAAGTGTAAAATTAATTAGTAATAAGAAGGGGTACGATTTAGGCAACTGTCCTCCATAGATGTACTACGAGAACGTAAAACAAAATTATTATGATGCATACACAAAGTGCCCGCTGACTCGCCGGGGGTAGAAAGTGTCACGAGTACCGTGATCCGTGATTCAAAAGATTAATGGTTCGACTCAATAGAAGTTTGAGGAAATTATATCAATTGCTGTATTACTCTATTGTTTCTATAAAAATGATTAAGAGTGTTTTTCAAAGGCTCCGTCGTCATATGAAATGATGCTTTTTTGCGAATAATATGCCATTTTCATAGCTGCTGTGAGTTAGCAACTGTTACTCATAACTGTTAGGTCAATCTAAACTAGCGGCGTCAGCTCTTATTTTGCAAATGGCGCAAAACACAAGTATTTAGAAAAGCCACAGTTTTGCGAAAATGAAAAGCATTTGTGGTCTAATTTTTAAATATTTAAAAATTTACTCCAATGCTGCATTACTTGGACTCATAAGAAATTGCAAAAATCGTGAATAAAGCAGAGATTTTGATAAGTTTCGTCTAGTTAGAAAAATTTGACCAAATTGGCAATTTTTAAAAAAATTTAATAACTCTTAAGATATTTAAGTTATTTGTCTGTTCTAAAGCCCACATAATTCTTCTCGGCAATTTCATTTATATATAGTTTAAAATCATCACATCGCTTCAAGTGTAATGCAATTAAACTGTGGTTTTCTTATTTTCCTTGGCAACAGTGCTTCGAAAAACAGCGTTAAATCTATTATGTATTCAGTGCACTTCCCTTTAATTATACATGAAATCGCTTAAACATAAAACGATTTCCGTAAAAATTGCGCCCACTTATTAAGAGTCCGTTGACACCCCGGTATTGGACAGTGGCAATAGCATCCTTCTGATATAATGAATATTCTATGATTCGATGCACCAGAAGATCGAGGCAAGTAATTATATCAAAAACTATGCTACTGTACTAAATTTCCGGTATATAGTCCTGAATGCCATTACTTTTTGCCATAAAATGCATCGTTGCCGCAAAATTTTATGTATTAAATAATTAATATACCGTAATTTTCGCAATAATCTTTACTGTAATATATACCGCATAATCACTAAATCTTTGAAATTATGTAAATATCACTGTAAAAATTAAGGCACAAAATTTTACCGTAATATGGATTTTACAGATGCTCCGCTCAGCGTAATTTTACCGGAATTTAATTCGGTGTTTTTTACAGTGCGTAAGGTTCCTATAAATGTTCATAAATTCGATATGCATTTAACGAACATCTGATCAACTAAACATAAAATTTCGTTAAAAAAGGACGTAACTTCTCAAAACCCTCACGAAGAAGGGGAAAAAATTATTATTAAATCTTTAATAAAAGTTATTATTACTTTCAGGTACTTAGGTACTTTTACGTAGCACTAGAGCTGCACTATGAGCTATTGGCGACGGAATGGGAAACATCTCTGGAGATGATCCGAAGTCATGTCATCACAATTTTGATCCTCTGCAGAGGGTCAAAGCGAGAGGTCCCCAACTTTGGAAGCCCGATGACTTGCAACCGAAATCGAACACTTTACGATAAAACAGTTTAACGAAGTCCGATACCACGCACCCATGGTCCCAGCGCAGGTAAATCAAAGCGGTCACCCACCCGCTTACCGACCGCAACCAGTGATGCTTCACTTCAGTGCTCCACAGTCCCGCAGTGGACTGATCGTTAAGACACGGTTCCCAGCAGATCACTGAAGTCAAGCATCACTGGCTGCGGTCAGTGTGCGGGTGGGTGACCACTTGGATCAGCCTGCGTAGGGACCGAGGGTGTGCGGTATTGGTCCTCGTTAAACTGTTCTGCAGTAAAGTGCTCGACTTCGCGTGCAGGTCGTCGCGCTACCGAAGCGGGGGTTCCATCCCCTCCGCAGAGAATCAAAATTGTGATGGCATGTCTTCGGATCATCCTCCGGGATGTTTCCCAGACCGTCGCCAATAGCCCATTGTGCAGCTCTAGTGTGACGTGGATTAACAACAACAACATAAAATTTTTCAAGGAAAAAAATTCTCTAAACATTAAAAAAAGATTATTATTTTTTTATTGAAGAAATTTTCTTCCGTACAATTAAAGTACAATTCCTTACAGACATATCACAAGGCTGCCTTTCTATGCGTTATCGCTTGCCAAACGCTCTGTACTATGAAGGTTGTGGGTTCGAATCCCATGTTAACAATGGACTTTCTCTAAATTGTGCTGTCTCTTTTATTATTTAACAATGGTGTTTATAGGCCATTATTAGCATCGAGCACACTAATTTGATACGACATAATATATAATGCTGTTCTTCTCTGAATTGTACTGACCCGCAGTGGACTGATCGTTAAGACTCGGTTCCCAGCAGATCACCGAAGTCAAGCATCACTAGCTGTGGTCAGTGTGCGGGTGGGTGACCAATTGGATCAGACCGACAAAAGGCTTATAAGCCTTAATTAAACACAAAAGCATGCAAATGCATGCTGTAACAATAAGTAAATAAATAAAAAGAAATACATGCCTATGTTACTTGTTGTCGCTTAAGTTAGACGATAAAAGCATATAGTATGTGCACACAGTTCACATATATGTAATATATACATGAGTTTTTATCCGTAATGTATTCAAACTAAATCCGGTTCAAAATTATTCACAAATTACTGTACTGATTACTGTAATAAACCCTCCAGCTTCTTAGCCCATCAAGAAAGAAATGTGAAAGCTTATTGAGATTTTTTGTTGTTGTTGAAAGTTTTAATTAAAAATAGTAGACTTTCTGTGTTGTGAGATAATGTCTTTAACGTTAAAATATCTAACAAGGATATTTATTTATTACTGTAATACTTTCAAACTTGATCTAAGTTCGATTCCTAAGTTCGTTTCTAAGTTCGATTTCTAAGACTAGATCAAGGTAATTGTTTATTGTTTGTGTATTGTTCTCTACCGTATATCTTATATATTGAAATATTTTCATCCATATTGTGTTTGACTCAATGGCTGAGAGGGAAAGTTGTCCCGGGATTATGGGCATATTATAGAGAGTCCGACCGAATTTCTTTAAAAAATTTAAAAAAAAAAAAATTAAAAAAAGTATTTTTGCTCCAATAAAAAAACCTAACTTGTTTCTAAAACATGTAAAATTAACCTAAATTATCGTTTGATGTCATTGTGCATCAAATTTTGAAATATTGTTTTGAGTCACTTAGTATATTCCGTTATTTTTCTCACATAAATTGTCAACTATACAAATAATGATTTTATTTACATAAATTATTTTCTTCTACAATCCACCATCTATATGATGTTTTCCATTTCTTTAATTTCTTCTAAGAGCGCATCTCTGCATCAGATTTTGGGAAGAAGCATTCTGCGTATTATAGCGTTCTCAACATTTGACGGTGTTCCTTTATCATCCACTTTTGATCAAAGATTTGATCACTTTTTACCTGCAAAAAAAAAAAATTTAAATTTTTATATTCTCCCATTTTTTATTGATTTAAGATGTACTATCAAACTTTGGTATAAACTATTATGTTCCCTAATTTAAAAACAAGCAATAAATACTTTAAAAAAATAATAGTAATTAGGTCTTTGTAAATAAGAGAGCATTTTTACATGCTAGCGAAAATGAGAAACAAAAAAAAAAATATTAGAAAATAGTAAATTTTACTGCCGTATCTACAGTTCAATGATATTTTATACTGGATTTTATAATAATTGATTATTTTAAAATTTCATTTTACTTAAAAAGAAAAGAAAAAGAGTAGTATTTGCAAAATATTTGCTCTAAAATTTGCAATTTTATTCGATTTTGCTACCTTGAATATGTAATTCAAGAGTAGTGTGATTTTTACTTTAGAGCATGGCACAGAATTACTTTGCAGCTTTTGTGCCCTTATACTCTCTCTAAAACTCTAACAATCAAATCTGCCTTTGAAATCAAAGCCTATTTACAAATTTTTAAATAAGTTAAGCAGAAAGGCTATAGAATTAACTACTTTCTATAGGTGTTTTATAATAGGCAATTGGTAAACACAGCGTGATCACTTTAACCTTGTGCCATACAAACCTGCATTAATCCAATTTATATAAAGTTGGAAAATCCTCAGAGGTAAGTGCGTTGTATGCCAATCCTTTTCTAACTGTGCGCGTAAGTGTAGAATTGTTAAAAAATAGCGGGGTGTTCTTTAATCCAGCCATAACCCCTTAAACTCCCCATTTGAATCTATGGTCAGTTAACAGCATGATATTTGACACTCTAAGCGTTTTCAATCTCACAATCCACTAAAAAGATTTGTTTTTATTGTAAACTGACAAAAATTCTAGTAAAGACATCTACAGGAAAATGACTTCGCCAAACAAAGCTAGAAAAAGAATTCTTGTGCACTGAGTGGAAGCCAATATATGCGACAAGATTCTGCCATAAAAGACACAGAAAACAATTTGATAGACAGGGTGACTATCTTTTTTGCTTGTCCAATTTGCACAAATCTCTGGTAGGTCCTTCCCACAATGCGCCGAAATTGACTTTTTAAATACATTTCGCACTTAGAGATTGCAGTAAGTCGTCGCCATACTGTGAAGAGCTTTTCATAAAGTGAAAAGTCATTTAGGTAAATCTGTGTCCTGGTTTAAACTCTACTAGGAGTGGCAGTTTATCCTTTCATAGATGACATGTTCAAGACGTGACTAACAAGTTGCCATGTATTGATATTATCTTGGTTTTATCAATAAAGAACAGCGGAGTCGTCAGTGAAGAAAGGACTTATGGCCCCATAAAGAGTCAAATAAAATCTTTAATAAATGTTACTTAATAAAGGTAAATTGCAAGGTTATCTATGGTACGTGCTTTAAAAATATAATTTTGACATTCAGTCTATGGAAATATCAAATACAATATGTATAAAAGTACAAAAATGTATAAATTTTTGAAGCATGTGAAATTTAGTTTTTAGCTCAGAAAGAAAAACTTAATTTTAAAAAATTAAAGTCAACATTTCTTTTAAAAAAACATTGTAAAAAATTCTGAATCAAATTACGTAAAAGGTACCTCAAGGTGCCAGTACTTTCTTACCGTAAAATTTTGCGGAACAAAAAAATCGGATATACCGTAATTCTTACAGTAATATTTATGATAAAATCACTGAGTAAAATCACTGAGTATGGTAAAATCACTTTTATTACGGTAATCAAATCAAAATCAAATTACGGTATAAAATTTTAGGATAAAAATGAATTTTACGGTTAAGTGGGTATTACGGATGCTGTACTCAGGAAGCAGCATTTTTTACAGTAATTTGATGTGGAATTTTTTACAGCATAATTATGTACATTTAATTTTAAAATCGTATTTCTAGTACAGTTAAAAAAAAAAACTCGGTTCAGGAGATAATGAAAACGCAAAATGTTTTCTAGTATTAAGGCGTGCATAGAAAATGAAGAAAAACATGATATATATAGTAAAAGTTTGCGTGGGGTCATGATTATTTTCGTTACGCGTTCGTTTATTAAATCATTTCTGGAAGAGTTTATGTATATTTATAAACACAGAATTTATAAATTCGGTGATTCATGAGTACAGAAGTTCCCGTCTATGGCCTTTTCTTTACAGTGGGCAAAATCTTTAAACTCCCCCCCCCTTCCCAACAAAAATGATGGTCTTAAATACCCAATTAATCTTAAGTAATACGCTAAGTGAATTTCTTTTTTCTTTTTTTTAATTAATCATTCTCCATTTCTAAGACTATTTTAACGCAACCTTTCTACAAGGTCCTAACTACAAAAAGTTAAGTAAAATTAAAAAATTAACCCGAAACTTTTGCCTTATGAAAAGAGTTCAGAGAAAAAGAGGCTAAAATCATATCTAATAAAGTAAAAAATACTCGAAATTTCATTCACGTAACTCACAAAATATGAAACGTTTGACAACTATTTCGTTGACATGAGTTATCACAACTCAGCGAGTAGGAAATATTTTTGCGCTCGGCTCGACTGAGTGCGATAAAGATCATCTCTATCTGCAGTACTGCATAAAAGAAGGCTAAACTCCTCACTTAAGTGAACCCACCAGGTAAAACAATGAGAATAATAAATAAAATAAAAAGAATATTCATATGTGCCGTGGCGACGTTTTGTCGCATATGGGCGTGTCAGTGGTTTGGATCTTTTCTCATTTGTTTTTACCGACCACCACGCCCTCTCAGCTATGAAATGACATCATCAATCGGCTTTCCGACATCCTCACATTTGTGTGTTGCCACATTTTCACAGCAATTCTGGAAATTAAATGTGCGTTAATGTAGGTCTCGGAAGTACGCTTTTTCTTTGAAATTCTTTGGTGAACGATTTTTGCTAGGAATTTCGCATAAAAAAGCCAGACCAAAGAAAGATTTAATTTTTTTTTCTTCCCTTTTCTTTAAAAAAAAAACTTTCTTGTGTAAAATATTCACATTGAGAATTTTTCGATTCGTCTATGACTAACTTAGCGGAACTATAAACAGTTAATGTAGGACAACCGCAAGGGGGTTACACTTGCATCCGTCTAAAAACCCAAAATTTAAAAAAATTGATTCCAAATTCACATTTTTCAAAGCGATTCTCAAAATAAATCGTCAGTTGTGTTAGTCTCGAACATGCGCTATTTTTATTTTGTTTTTGTTTTTTTAATTCTTTGGAAAACGATTTCTGCTAAAGAAGTTCATGTATCAATTCGCCTGTCCTATGAAGAATTTAATTTCACTTTTTTTTCTCCTTTTCCACTTTTCTTTAAAAAAAAAATTCTTATGAGAATTTTTTTATTCACAAAAGTAGTTTTGGAAAACATTGCATCACTCTAAAGCAAATTCAGACAACCTATAAACCAGTAATGTTGCTTCAAAATCAAGGACAACCGCAAAGGGCTAAAATACAAAAATTAAGTTAATCTAATTAAGTTAAACTGAATTAAATTAGTTTAGTTTTAGTTTTAAATATAATATAATATTCATATTTATTTCTCTTATGTGGCACCATAAACTTGAGAATTTCTCTATCCATTGAAAATATAGTTATTTTTCGATTTGTTAGGTTCTCTTAAGAAAAAATTTAAGTAGTATTAAAAAATTAGCTATACGTTAGATATTTCGATTCATTTTGTTTGGTTTTGTTAGGTTGTTGCAATGAAATAATTATTGATACTTTAAACACATTTTCTAGCAAATAATCAAAAATATATTGCTTTGAGATATTGCTTTAAAATTAAATAGGTAGAGAACAAAAGCATTTATACTGCTCGTGAACTAAGTAAATTCCTGTGTTAAAAATATTTCAAAATTCATATTGCGACTATAAAACTTCCATTCGTGTTACACAATCGAAATTATGCTTATAATCTAACCGAAATTGGCTTCATTTAAGATGCACAGTCGTACACGCTATTTCTGTTTGGAGCATTTTGGGAACACTACATGTCACATTTTTTTTACCTTTCTTGGGCAGACTACAAAAATGCTAGAAATAGTTGAGAAAATAACTTTTTTTTTAACTCATACCAATTGGGTATACTATAGCCTACGTCACAGATCGTGTTATTCCTACTAAATTTAACTAGTAAACAGCATTTTCTGCGAACCTGATTTCTATCATCAAGTAAAAGCATCAAACGAGTGTCTTGTTATAAGTCGCTACTCGCCAGGTTGGAATTGTATTAGTCTAGTTCCTTTGGAAATAATTTATATTGTTGTTTTACCGAAGTTTATGAATTTAGTAAGCATATTTAAAACTCAGTTTATTAATTAAACTAAAAGGTAAATGTTATTCCTAGTAAGTGGAAGTAGTTGTGCTTTTTTCATATTATACCCAATTGACTAATGTTCAATAAAATAATAATACTTAAGAAAGTTAATTATTTTTATTTTTTTATTTGCTTGTTTGTTTATTTTCTTGCTTGTTTGTTTATTTCTTCCTTTATTTATCTATCTATTGTAACGAATCAAGCTATACTGAAGAAACAGTTTTTTATAAATAAAAAATAAATAAATAGATAAATAAAACATTTACTTGGCAAAACAACCACACATCAAAGCAAAGATTAAATTGAAACACCCGTAACAGATAAGTATAAACTTTTCAAAAATAAATCTAAATATCCTTAACAGTGAGTTTATGTAAACCTTAAATACACGAAAACTAATGTTAATAAAACAAACTCATTCTTCAACGTTCCAAAACTTGTCTCGTTTTTTTTATTTTTTTTCTTGATCTCGTTATTTATATCATAGTACTGTTTTTCAATTCATGTTAACCAGATATTTTTAGAACTCTATAACTATCTATCAATTTTTTTGTTTGTTTGCCAATTTTTAAAGAGATTTCCGTGTTAAAAAACGCATCAATTTAAAACACCGATCTCTGTTGCAAAAACATTGCTGTAATCATGCGTTCAGACCAAAGCTTACATCGTCGTCTTAAACACACAAGTAAAAATTCCATATTCCATGTGGATATTTGAAAAAGATTCTATATCACAGATCTTTTTTTTTGAATACTTCATATCACATGATTATTTTTTGGGGGGAGGGGGTATGAAAATAATCGATTGAAGATGTGCATTCATGTTAACACCGAAACTTTGCGATCCATTTTAGACAAATACACCGATTCTTTCAATTATTTTAATGCTGTCAAACACAACATATTCCTAGTGGAAGATAATTCGATATTTTCATCAGTGACGTGACGGCCCAGGATGGGTCCAGGGTTTCTTCAGTATTCCGTTCCTTTAGAATTAGGTGCTCTTGATGATTTCTCTACGTTTAATAATATCAGATTTCTTACATAATATGTGCATTTCGAATCTCGCTTCATGATCAAACTAAGGAGGTAGATTTTCGTGGTTTTTCTTTTATTAAATTAAATCATCTTCAATTAAAGAAATCATTTTATTAAAATAAGAGTGAAGAGCTAGGTTTTTTTTTTGAAGAAACACTTTCTAAAAATTGACTATACGTACAACTTGAGCAATTCCTTTAGCCAATAGAAGATTTATAGAAGACTTCACGCTATTTATAACCAATAGATGTTTATCACTGCCTTCTTCACAAAACCTTCACATTCGTTTAGAATTCATTTTGGTTGAGTCCACCTCGGAAACAAAAGGGGTGTCGCAGATTTGGGAACTATTACATAAAATTCATCTTTCCTCTATAAAAGAACAACAAAACAATTTTTTTTAAAGTTATTAAAAAGCCTATCGAATAAAACTGGAATAGATATCAAACTTTTATTAGAATTGTTAGAATCTAAAGGTTAGCTGTAAATATTGAGAATGTAATTTATATTAAAAAAACAAGATTTTTTTTAAAACTGAAAGTATACATATTTTACCGAAGTATAGATATCAGTTATTTCACAAATTATTTAGGGTGGTCCTTAAAGTGCCGAAAATTGTTTTATCTCCCAAATTAAACTGAGTTAATCAGCGAACTGCCTAGATAATCAGTATATTTCTTACTAGACTCCTCTTTAAAATGAAATAAGATCTATCGTAGAGGAACTGCATCATTTCCACACACTTAAATAAACATAATCCTATTTATTGATTTTTCGGTGTCTGAATAATCAGGTTAATACAACCTAACAATCAACAAATTAGTTAATAGAATCAATCGTCAATCAATTAAAAACTTTAGTGCAAAGAATTAAACTGTTTGAAATACCATTACAATTAATGAAATTAACAAAATATAATTTATTTTCTCTGTGTTTCAAGTATCAGGCTAATTAAGAACAATCAAATCAACAATTTGCTTGGTAGAAAGAGAAAAGCAAACTTCTGAGCTTTAACGATAAGATAGCCGTTAATATTCGCCTTAGCCTAAGTAAAATGAGAAAAACACTTGTTTCCGCACTTTAACGAGCCATCCTAGTAAGTCTGCTGATTTGCTAGGTATTTTGCATAGTGATTGTTTTCGAGCTGTAGAGGTAATACATGCCGGATCTTATTACTGTAATAAGTACCTGTCGCCTTTGTGCGTCATCCGTAAATTTAATTTTACCGTAAAATCCCTTTTTGCTTTAAATTTCTTTTTCACTGTAAAATATTATACTGTAACTTTGACAGTAATATTTATCTAATTAGTGTGATTTTGCAGTAGTAATTACTGTACCGATTTTTTGTTCTGTAACATGCTCTGGTAAAAATGCATTGCATGGTAAACACTAACACGGTAAACACTGTAAACAGTAAGATAAAAAGTACCGGCACCTTGAGTGTCGGTACTTTTTGCCGGAATTTGATCCGGAATTTCAGAAAGTGTAATTTAATTTGTTTTTTTTTTCGATGTTCTAAGAACCAAGCTGTAACAATCAAGCAATCAAATTAGCTAATTAGTTGATAGCAAGAGAAAAAGCAAACTTTCTAGATTTGCAATGAATGTGTCCTTAACTAAAATGAGAAAAACTCTTGTTTTCTCACTTTCATGTATCACCCTATAAAGTTTACAGATTTGCCAGGCATTTTGCATAATGATGGTTTTCGAGCTTTAACGGTAATAGACACTGTAAAAAATTCGAATCTTAGTACGGTAAAAAGTACCAGCACCATTGGTGCATCATCCGAAAATTAATTTCGCGGCTAAGCTTTATAGCGTATATTTTAAAGTAATGATTATTTAACTAGTGATTCAATTATTTTTAAATAAATATTATTGTAAAAATTGCGATACATCAGATATTTTTTATTCTGTAAAATTTTATTAATAAAATGGATTTTACAGCAAAAGTACTGGAACACTAGGTGTCGGTACATTTTGCCGGAATTTGATCCGGAATTTTTTGCTGTTGTGTATACGGGGGTGAATGTTTATTAACTTAAATCAGTTATATGAATACATTTTTCATCGAAAATTATAAAAAAAAAATTCAATTTCTTTAATTGACAAATATTTTTTATTTATTCTGCAAATAGTAATCGCATCGGTTAAAATATCACCGAAAACTGCTGCGCCATTCTGCCCTTGTCCATAGAACTCAAGGACATCGCTATTAAGGGTTGTTATTATTCATAGCTTTGCGTGCTACTAGAGGAATAATAAATAAAATAAAAATAAATTACGACGTTCTGAATTTCATTTCCTAAGAGCATGAACTTTTGATACGCTTTCTGCTCTCTATGAAATTTTGATTGCTCATAATAGTTATATCACGTCTTTTGATACTCTTTAAATAATTATGCAGATTATGCACGCTTTGTATTCAATAGTCTTACAAAGATGAAATGTTTACACATGCTATGTTTCCGTTATTACTAAGTTATTTTTAATTCGCAGAAAATTAAATGTTATAGAGTCAAATTGACATTTGCTGGCGGAATATAGCCATCGTGAATTCTGACAAATATAAATGAAGAGATATCAGGCATGGTTTTATTTCATGGTTTACCGTTCTTGCAATTTGCATAAAGGTGCAAATATCCAGCTCATTTTTTTAAATTAAAATCGTAGTTTTCATATAAAGTTTGTTTTATGTGAGAGCAAGTTTTATCCTTCATATATCATATTATTTTTATATTTCATATTTTATACATGAAAATAAATAGAATGAATTCGATCTTCCACGTAATTTGAATCAGTAATGACAAAAAGAAAAAAAAAGAAAAAAAACTGCTTTTTGTACCTACTGGAATAAGAAAGCGGGAAAGGCCGCTTTTGAGATGGGCTGACTCAGGGGAGGCTGATTTTCTTGCAATTAATGAAAAGAATTGGAGATCAAAGATAAATCGGAAGTCGTCATGGAGAAATCTTCAGAGGAAGGCATTGGCTCACATTGGGCTGTCTGGCCAACTATGATGATGATGAGAGTTAAATTGACGTTTGTTGGTGGAATAGAGCCATTGTGAATTTCAACATGTATAAATGAAGAGATGTCAGTGGTTTTATTTCATGGCTTACCGATCTTGTAATTTGTATAAACGTGTAAATACTCAGCACATTTTTTTAATTAAAACTATAGTTTTCTCAAAAAGTTTAATTTTGAGTGAGAACAAGTTTTATATTTAATACACGGAGCATCAAAAAACCACTCTAAAAATCTTTAAAAAAATCGAAAAACTAATGCCATTTTAATTTTTAATTTTATTGTCCAATAATAAACATACTTTTTTAGAAATCAAAATTATTTTTATTCAAAATGTTAATATTTTTTATTAAAATATTGCATAATTAACTATTCACATTAGTTATACTAGATAACTTTGGTAAATGAGGACTAATTAGTGGATTGTGCATTAAAATATGCAAAAGCTAATAATTTTTTTCATTTAAATCTGTGACAATAAAATTCATTAATTAACATAATAAATGTATCTTATTTAAATATTAATATAAATTAATAAATGTTTCTTATTTGTGCTATATTATATTACCATAAGTCAAGTTTTTTTTAATTATTGTTTATATCAAGTTTTTTATTATTTATTGCATTGAAGTTTGTTTATTAAAAGCATCGATTTTTTTTTCTAATAAAAAGTTTTAAAAAATGCTTAAGAATTTTTGGCTTATGTGTGACAAAGATGCATGCAAAATAATTATTTCTTAAATCTAACTTCTGAGATACTCACAGTTTAGCGGTTTTGAGCTTTAAATTTACTTTAAAAATGTTTTTGAATTTTATTGACAAAACTGTTCAAAAGGTTAAGCACCATCGCAACACCCTAATTAGTGTTAGTATTTTTTTTTTTTTTTTGTTACCTTAATTTTTACTCTAGTAATCTAATTTTAACTTCAATTTCACATAAAAGATATAACTTTTCATACAACAAAATGTACGTTTTAATTCATTTAATGAAATTATTAGTAGAATGCTCTTAAGAAATCCTATATATTTTTTATTCTATTTTCGAAATTCTTAACTTCTGAAACTGCTTGAGAAAAAAAAATCGAACTTTTTCTTTCTCTTCTAAGCTTAATAACAAGATTGAATTTTTTCAAGATATTTTCGTTCTTTAAAATTCATTTGTTTCACTTTTTTGCTGCATTTTATAAAAAAAAAATTAATAAATAGGTAAATTTTAGTTTTCTACCTAAGGATTATTAATAACTTCAGGATAATTTTACTGTTGTTCCTAAGGATTTATACCCTTCTAACTCCTTCCCTGTTAGATGCGTAAGTAATATTTCAATGGCCCTATAAAAAGCAATTAATCTTGAATTTTGCTTTTTTAATTTCCTATTTTTTATTTATTTTGTAGAAATGCAGTTTCTACTTGTCACGTGCTTCTAAAATAAAAATGCAGCATTTTTCAAAAATGCTACTTCTTGCTACAAAAAAAAAAAAAAAAAAAATTTATATGCATGCGAAAAATTTTGAATATAATTATGAAGCAAAAGTTTTTTTTTTACTTTATTTTGTTTTGAAAAAAATAAAGCCTTGAGCACGATTTTAAAAAAAATTGTTTCTGCCTAAATCTTACAATCAGATTACTAATTCATTTTAGAATTACAAATCATGAGTAGGAAAAATAAAATATTCAACTTATCAGTTTGAAATAATCTACAAAATAGATTTAATAAATAATATTTCCTCAAGAAATGACTTCATTCTTTTTTTTGTAATTTAATCATTTTATAGCCAAACCCGAAATGTTTGTCGTATGATATTCTATATTTTCTTCTTAACTTCCCATAAATTATTGGTAATAGGTTCCTAAAGTAAAATTAAAAATTAAAAAATCATTAAGAATGTTTTTCGAAGGCTCTGTCGTCGAATGAAATGGTGCTTTTTTGCGAATAATATGCTATTTTCATGACTGCTGTGAGTCTTCAATGGTTACTCATGACTGTTAGGTAAATTGTTAGGCAGACTGTTAAGTCTTTAGCCAATGCCCTCTTTGTTGATTCTGAAAATGGAGAACATTAAAAAAAATGAAAAACTTTCGTCGTCTAATTTTTAAATATTTAAAAACTTGCTTTAATGCTGCATTATATGGGCTCATACAAATTTACAAAAATTGAGAATAAGGCAATGATTTAGGTGGAATTGTCGTAAAATTGGCCGATTTTTAAGAAGTTTAATAACTTTTAAAATATTTAAGTTATTTGCTCAGATAATTCTAAGGCCTGTATAATTCTAAATTCTAGAAAATTCTAAAGCCTAGATAACTCTAAGCCTAGATAATTCTAAAGCCTAGATAATTCTTTGCGGCA